CTATGGTCTCTGGTCTCTGCTCTCTCTGGTCTCAGCTCAGGTCTCTCTGTTCTCTCTGGCCTCTCTGTGGCCTCTCTCTCTGGCTCTCTCTGGTCTCTCTCTCTGCCTCTCTCTGGTCTCTCTGGTCTCTCTGCCTCTCTCTGGTCTCTCTGGTCTCTCTGGTCTCTCTGGTCTCTCTCTGGTCTCTCTGGTCTCTCTGCCTCTCTCTGCCTCTCTCTGCCTCTCTCTGCCTCTCTCTGGTCTCTCTCTGGTCTCTCTCTGGTCTCTCTCTGGTCTCTCTCTGGTCTCTCTCTGGTCTCTCTCTGGTCTCTCTCTGGTCTCTCTCTGGTCTCTCTCTGGTCTCTCTGGTCTCTCTGCCTCTCTCTGCCTCTCTCTGCCTCTCTCTGCCTCTCTCTGCCTCTCTCTGGTCTCTCTCTGGTCTCTCTCTGGTCTCTCTCTGGTCTCTCTCTGGTCTCTCTCTGGTCTCTCTCTGGTCTCTCTCTGGTCTCTCTCTGGTCTCTCTCTGGTCTCTCTCTGGTCTCTCTGCCTCTCTCTGCCTCTCTCTCTGGCTCTCTCTGGTCTCTCTCTCTGCCTCTCTCTGGTCTCTCTGCCTCTCTCTGGTCTCTCTGGTCTCTCTCTGGTCTCTCTGCCTCTCTCTGGTCTCTCTGCCTCTCTCTGGTCTCTCTGCCTCTCTCTGCCTCTCTCTGCCTCTCTCTGGTCTCTCTGGTCTCTCTGGTCTCTCTCTGGTCTCTCTGCCTCTCTCTGGTCTCTCTGCCTCTCTCTGGTCTCTCTGCCTCTCTCTGGTCTCTCTGGTCTCTCTGGTCTCTCTCTGGTCTCTCTGCCTCTCTCTGGTCTCTCTGCCTCTCTCTGGTCTCTCTGGTCTCTCTGCCTCTCTCTGGTCTCTCTGCCTCTCTCTGGTCTCTCTGCCTCTCTCTGGTCTCTCTGCCTCTCTCTGGTCTCTCTGGTCTCTCTGCCTCTCTCTGGTCTCTCTGCCTCTCTCTGCCTCTCTCTGCCTCTCTCTGCC